AATTTGAGAAATTTGAGAATGGGGGAAAATTTGGGGATTTGGGAAATTTGGGGAATTTGAGGAATTTGGGGATTTGGGAAACTTGGGGAATTTGAGAAATTTGGGGATTTGGGAAATTTGGGGAAATTGGAAAATTTGGAGGTTTGGAAAACGTGGGGAATTTAGGAAATTTGTGGAAATTTAGGGAAACTTGAGAATTTGGGAAACTTGAGAAATTTGAGAAATTTGAGAATGTGGGAAAATTTGGGGATTTGGGAAATTTGGGGAATTTGGAGAATTTGAGAAATTTGAGAAATTTGGGGAAATTTGGAAAATTTCATTTAAACTTGTGATCACTCTAATGTAAGATTGAAGAGAGAGTTATGGAATTGAAAGATATTGAATTAATCCACCGGTCATTTAACTAGCGGTCACTACAGAGCAGCAAGAGTCAAAGTAAGAATACTGAAACTAGTGAAGCTCCTTTTTAATTACCTTCCAGATACTATGCCATTTCAATTTGTGATCACTCTAATGCAAGATAAAAAAGAATGTTATGGAATTAAAAGATATTGAATTAGTCCACCGGTCATTTAACTAGCGGTCACTACAGTGAAGCAAGAGTCAAAGTAAAAATACTGAAACTGGTGAAGCTTCTTTTCAAGTATCTTCCAGATACTATGTCATTTCAATTTGCGATCACTCTAATGCAAGATAAAAAAGAAAGTTATGGAATTAAATTAATATTGAATTAATACGTCGTTCATTTAAGCAGCGGTTATTAACGGCAAGCAAGAGTCAAAGTAAGAATACTGAAGTTGGTCAACGTACTTTTTTAACACATTCCAAACACGACTTCATTCAAATTTGTTATCATTCTAATGCGAGATAAATATCCCAAGGTACCAGACTCCATTAGAGTGTAGACAACCAGCTTGGAGGTTGTAACAACCGGTTGAAAGGTTTTATTCGGCCTTCATTCCGGCCTTTACCACATTCCAATGAGAGTCGATGAATTCCATCGAGTCCTCCTTTCGATGTGACCCCATAAACACCAAGGCACCTGCGGTCAAACGAGGCCAGACAAATAATGGAAGAAGATAACCGAGATAACGAGACTGTTTTTCGATAAATCTCTACCTCCGATCGATAACATCAGTTCGACACGACTCTCCGCGAATCGCTACAAACTAAAAATCGTTGTTTAAAGGAACGCACTCGCGTATGTACGATTTTTAAAATATACGTTCGAAGGGGAAAATTGAAAAACGATTGTTGGTCCGTCTGTTATCGCCGCGCTACGCGTACTGAAACTAATATTTTGTTTTAACGAATGCTTTTTTATTTCATTGATTTCCATCAATTTGTTATGGAGTATTAATAGCCGCGATATATTTTTACGATGCGTAAGAATTGAACGGATAAATTAATTTTGCAGTGCAGGTCCAACGGCTACGATATTTCCCGTTTAATTTAGAGCGGGATCGGAATTTTTGATGAATATGGAAATATTCCAGTTTAGAATTTTTGTAGAGTTGGAGAAATTTGAGATTTTCGATCTTCTGATTTGGAATTTTTGGAATTTTTGAAGTTTTGGAATTTTTGGAATTTTTGGAATTTTTGGAATATTGGAATTTTGGAATTTTGGAATTTTGGAATTTTTGGAATATTGCAATTTTGGAATTTTGGAATTTTTGGAATTTTGGAAGTTTTGGAATTTTTGGAATTTTTGGAATTTCTGGAATTTTTGGAATTTTGGGACTCTGGTATTTCTCAAATCTCATACATCTCAAATTCTAAATTTAAATTTCAAAATTTCTAAAATCTCAAAATCCCAAATTTCACAAATTCCCCAAACGTCCCAAATTTCCCAAGTTTCTGGATTGTACTTAAAAAGAACCTTGCCCAAAATCAATATTCTTATTTCGATTCCTGCTTCTCTGTAGTGACTGTTAGTTAAACGACTGGTAAATTAATTCAATATTTTTTTATTCCATAACTTTCTTTGTAACCCTGCGTCAGAATGACCACTAATTTAAATGAAATCGAGTATGGAATGTACTTAAAAAGAGTCTTCACCAGCTTCAGTATTCTGACTTTGACTCCTCTTTCACTTTAATAACAGCTAGTTAAATGAACGACGTATTAATTCAATATTTTTTAATTTCACAACTTTCTTTTCAATTTTGCATTAGAATGATCACAAATTAAATGAAATAGTGTCTATGTACTTAACAAGAACATTGACCAACCTCAATATTCTTTGACTCCTGCTTCGCTTTAATAACTGCTAGTTAAATGAACGACGTATTAATTCAATATTAAATTAATCACATAACTTTCTTATTAATTTTGCATTAAAATGATTACGAATTTAAATGAAATAGTGTCTGGTATGTACTTAAAAAGAACGTGGACCAACTTCAATACTCTTACTTTGACTCCTGCTTCGCTTTAATAACCGCTAGTTAAATGAACGACGTATTAATGCAATATCACGACTTTCTTTTTTTAATTGCATATTATTTTACATTTACATACAGAACTAACGAACGATGTTAGCATATAATTAAATAAATTTACTCGTTTTCTCTTGAATTTATCTAATCATACATTAACGTTGTATTCATTTATAAACCTATCATCATCATCTTATAAATCGATAAGAGTGTTATTTAATAAATGAATTTCGTCGCATTTAGCTTAAAAAACTAATGTCGTGTTCACCGTTACAAATTGATTTCATAAATGAAAAATTCATGGATGTTTATTCTTTTACAACGAAAGTTTGAAAAGTTTGAAACGCCTCAGCAAGCTTTCACTTAATGTCGGTGAAACTTTAATGATGAAACTCGTAAGACTCTTCTTCTTACTCTTTCCTGGTAGCTTCCTTATTAAGAAATTACTAATTGGTTATTCTACGCTGACTTTTTCAAAACCCTTTAAATGGAATTCTTTTGAGGAAGTATCGATTTTCTGTCAGCGCTCGTAAATCTCGTTACCTTCAAGATCATCCCGAAAACTGAAGATTTAAACTTGTCGACTTTCATCTTTATTACACTGGATCCCATTAAAAATTTTGCAAATTTTTCCTTACAACATTTCATTTTTATTTTATCTTCAAATTCATCGTACTGCAACTTAAATTTTTTATATAATTTTATAAAATTTTATTGCTATATGCTTGTATGATTAACAAATTTTTTTGTGCTGTGAGAACTGTTTTAAAATATGGATAATGACATGTTGTGAGTGACATATGAGGAGTGCAACATAGTTGTACATATGTAACATGTGAAACATATGAGACTTTTCTAAAGTGTATCATCTACTAATATTTACTTGCATAATTAACAAATTTCTTTTCGTTGTGAGAACTGTTTTAAAGTTTTTCATACTGGCAAGGATATGTTGTGAGTGTCATATGAGACGTGCAACATAGTTGTACATATGTGACATGTGAAACATATGAGATTTTTCTAAAATGTATCACCTACTAATATTTACTTGCATAATTAACAAATCCTTTTTGCTGTGAGAACTGTTTTAAAGTGTTTCATACTGACAAGGATATGTTGTGAGTGACATATGAGACGTGCAACATAGTTGTACATATGTGACATGTGAAACATATGAGATTTTTCTAAAATGTATCACCTACTAATATTTACTTGCATAATTAACAAATCCTTTTTGCTGTGAGAACTGTTTTAAAGTGTTTCATACTGACAAGGATATGTTGTGAGTGACATATGAGACGTGCAACATAGTTGTACATATGTGACATGTGACACATATGAGACTTTTCTAAAATGTATCACCTATTAATATTTACTTGCATAATTAACAAATTTTTTTGCTGTGAGAACTGTTTTAAAGTGTTTCATACTGACAAGGATATGTTGTGAGTGACATATGAGACGTGCAACATAGTTACACATATGTGACATGTGAAACATATGAGACTTTTCTAAAATGTATCACCTACTAATATTTACTTGCATAATTAACCAATTCTTTTTGCTGTGAGAGCTATTTTAAAGTGTTTCATACTGACAAGGATATGTTGTGAGT